TGCATTACACGAAGCGGAACAATTCCTTTTCTGTTAATTCTCATATCAGCCGTATTAACAAATATGGTAATCAATCAGACTGTATCATATCGGCAGTGCTCAAAAAGTTTTGTTATTGTACCGTCCGCTGATATTATAAACTTATTATTTTCGCAAAAAATGCATAAAACTTAAAATTAAACTTTACAGATACGAATTTCCAGAAGGCAGACAAAGTATTTCGGCAGTCCAAGGTGGAAAGAAGGGCAGAGCCCTGAAGGACAAGACTGGACGCTCTCTTACTAACGACGAGAACATGCTTCGGGGGTGGAGAGAGCACTTTGACGAATTCGTTAACCCTGAGTGACTGCAAGACGACACGTCGCAAAAGCAAAAGGACCGGATATCAATCTTTCAGTAGACGAAGTTTTAGAAGTTGTAAATACAAAAGTGACCAAGCTGCTGCAATCAGTGAAATCGCCCTGAGATGCTTAAAGCTTTAAACTAACGAAGCATGTTGTGGCTAACACACGTCTATCAAACTGTAATGGCTAAGGGAAACACACCGGTTGACTGCAGAACTGGGGTGGTAGTATCCCTGTTCAAGATGGTTGGTGTTCCTTGTTAAGATCATCACCTTCAGCCGTCTGTATTAACAGAATGCCTCTGGTTTGTGAATGCTCCGTTTTCCAACACTTTTGGTATGCGGTATTATTCACTGCTTCGCAGAAGGAAATATTCCTCTTAGAAGGCAGATCAGCCTCTGCTTTGTCTCCATCTGCATGTTGGCCTCGGTGCTAGTAGACTTCTGCCTTCTTCGGTTGCCGCAAAAGAAGCACACGGGTTGGAATAAATGTGTGCTCATCAGTTTGTCTAGCAGAGTTAACTGCTTTTTCTTAATTTTCATACCTACCGAAGCCACCTGAGACCGGAAGAAAATACAATCATTCCTCACATGCTCTTGCTATTTTACTCTCACTATACATCGAAGCTAATGCTGCCTTACATACTTCACCCGTCGTTCTTGCTCCACTGTTCGAACAACTGTCTCCATGCCATACAACAGCACTGAATTGACAGAAGCAAGGTTCAGGCGGATTTTCGTGGGTATAGTGACTCCTATCTCAGTCCAAATTTTTGATAGGTTTCCAAAAGCACACGAGACTGGAGCAATGCGTTTACTTAGCTCTGGTTAGACAGTGCAATCGGGGAAGATAATGTTTCCGAGATACTTAAATAGATCAACCTCCTGAAGCGCTTCACATCCCTGTTCCACTTGTGAACCAGCTATGCTGTATGCGGAAGTCGTCAGTTAACTTCCAGAGCCGATTTGCCTAATTATTCACCAGGACAATGTCATCTGCATACTCCCGGTCATCAAAACATCAACCCAGATATCTTGAACTACACCTTCCCTCTACAATGAAACCTTCTTTGCCAGGGTCAACACTGTTTCAGAAAAGAGAGTACAAAATAATGTTGAATGGCAGAAGCGAGTGCATGTTTCCCTGGCGAACTCTTAATTTTTTAGGAAAACATTCAGGCAGCTCACTTGCAACTGACAACACATGATTTCAGCAGAGGTCTTTTTCAAAACAGAAACAAAATTTTCGGGTACTCCATGCATTTCAGGATTTTTCACGGAATATGTAGTGAATCACACCCAGCCTGTTCGGCAGCAGTGCATGTCAACAATCATCCTACTCAGAGTATTAATTTGACTGGGACAAAATTACTCATCCGGAAGCCTGTTTGATTTTGACGAAATCTCCCATCGATGGCTTGTCTCAGCCTGTCCAGGATAATTCAGGAGAAAAGTCTTTGACAACAGTGATATCACAACAAATGGAATGCATTCTCTCCTTTAATAAGGAGGTCCCTATAAAATATAGGAAAATAATATATCACTCCACACTTGCATTCTCTTGGGCAACGTTTGTAGGTTCAGATTTAATGAAATATGACATGAAGATTTTCAGCTATTCCCGATCATCTCTGGAGAAATTCAATGTACTCTTCACGCCTTTTTCATCATGAGGTGCAGCAAGGTTTTTCGGATTTTTAATTTCATAGGTAAATCTATACTAATCTCTGTTGTTGACAAAGAATTAAATTAATGAGACAGCCAGATAATCCGATCCACTTCAAGCACAATCGAAGTAAAAATTCAGATCCACACTTAAAAATACAAGAACTAAAAAAAGTGTCAAAGAACAACACGCTGCTATAATACCGATCAACTATTATGAGTATTCAAACTTGTCCAGAAAGCAAAGTCAAGCATTTCCAGAATCAGTCGTATAATTGCCAAAATTGATATGATCGATTTTATGATCTTGGTCTCCACATTTGTATTTCATACATATGCTATAGATTAACTAGCTTAATCAATTATTCTGATTCAGGCATGAAAGAGGGGAATACCTAAAGTAGCTAAGAATTAAAAATTTAGCTTCTCAAGCATGGCAATGCCCAGAAATAACAGTGGTTAACTGTATGAATAGACAATTTATGGTAAAATATATTCTATTTAGTAACTGTTAGAGTTGTAAAGATATTCACGATCACAGAAATGCTCTGATAAATAGTGTGAAGAGAACGTGAAAGTCATATTGTGACTTGTTTTATAACGTGCTTAAGAATCACAGATCAAGATACAGTATTGGCTGTCAGCATGGTATAATTTCACCACGATTTATGAAAGTCATAAAGAAGAGGGTCATTGCTTTAGCGGTGTAAAGGAATTGCGAATAACTGGCAAGGCCGGATCAGCTAGCAAAAACTCATTGTGACCATTGGTGGTGAATAACAGCAGGGGAATCTATTCTATTAATTTCCGTTCGCAAACTTGAAATGAAAACGACTTGGATACCGTTGACAGCGGGCCCCTAAAAGGTACTACGAATAAGGAGATTCTAAGAAAAGTATGTGGCACGTCTCTTATCAGTTCTATAAGTCGATCAAAATTCTCGTCTTTTTATGGAAAGCTTTGTTTGGCAATCTCATTAATGGCATTAGAGCGGTTTCATGTACTTCTCTGTACTGAGTACCACCGTGCTGACGTCATTTAATTTCAGTCGTGTCTTACGTAATCGATGAGATCAGTCTTTCACCTCAATGCCGATCTTGATGTTGTGTAGTGCCACAAAAGCAAGAGATTCGAAAACGGTTGTTCGACGAATCGGTTATCTGACTGCCGTTTTTATCCTTTTTCTTTTTTCACCTTCCTTGCAGTCAGTAAAATCCGGTTTGGGGTTTCCAGTTCTACCGCCATGGTTGACTTCGCTTCTCGCCGCTTTTTGTTTTGCATATTTTTTAAAGTCTTGAAATTTATGACCTAATTTAAATGCCATGAATCTATTACGGATTCGATAACGGTTATTCATGAATGAACAGATTATCCGATATAAAAAAACTAGGTCAGGATTGCAAAAATCACCTGATCTGGAGGTTATCCAAGACTTTCAAAAATGCAAACACGCACCATTACTGGCGTTTGGAATTTATTACTACAGGAACGAACTATTTAAAATGACAGCCAGAAAATGGATGAATACATAAGTGAACAAGGTGCTGAAGTAGCTGAGATGCTGTAAAGCAAAAGCTGCACGACAACCATTGTGCTGAAACGTGCTGTCAAGCAATGCATGAGTTTCTGACTGCCTTGACAAGCGGTTTCTTCGACAATTTCATACAGCCTTCAGTACACTTCATCATCAGACAGCGTGGCATAATGTCTGCATTCAAATTTACAGAATGTTTTAGACAAAGAAACAAAGTGAACCCCCAAAGCCCAAATATCGCTGTCCAATTGGATGAACAGTTCAAGTGGATTTTGTCAAAGCTCGTTGCTTCTTTGTCCATTAGTTAACATCGCCGTGTGTGGACTTATGGTGTGCAAGATTCACCCCAAATGACAGTGATGAAAATACTGTCAATTAGCCATACGGTTTTACGTATGACACCAAGTACGCTGACTGAAAACGTGTGAATATAACCATGTGGTAGGATTACAAGTCAGTGCAAAGGCTACTGCAAGAGAGTTAGGAAAATTTGAAGAAAAAAAACGAGCAAAAAAGACCGTGATTCAAACGATATCGTTATTCAGGTCTCATATTTTTTTCTTTCATAGTTTCACCATATGCTGACCTGTCATACTTAACAATCAGCCATTGGTTAAGTGCAACCGTAAGAGGCGCTCGTACTGGACAGCATGACCCTCCATTTCACCAATTGTGGCATGACCAGACCAGAATACCATGTTGTATCTATTTTTCGTAAATTACCGATTTATCACCCGTTTCTCAGCTGGCTGCGCCGAAGCAACGTACGAAAAATTATTTGCTCAAGGGAACTGGCGGATAAGATAAAAGTTGTCCCCTCTCATCACTCGAATCCGTCAAGTACAGAGTTGGCAGCTTAGCTCTCTGCCATTGGGCCATCTGTAACGCATAGAATGGAAGCATCTGCACACCGTTTAAAAGGAATGCTCGATATGCAATTGTGTCAAGAACGAGCAGCAGGTGCTGATGACCAATGGTCTGGGGAAACAGTCTGAAAAGTGAACGGCCCGAAATTTATTCAAAACTTTCTTCTCAAGAAAACACAGATGGGGAAATACAGAGAATCACACAGAGAACTGAAAACTGCGTAAAAACTTACCTTAGATCGAGATCATGACTTGCATTCACGGTGAACTTGATAAATAACTGAGTCGGTTTCAGATAATGCAGATATAACAAATCTAGGCAACGCTGGTGTTCAAGATTTGATAATGTTGGGAAAAAAATAATATCAAAGCAACAAAGCAAAAACTGCGCGCTTCCGCACTGAGAATGAAAATGTTGACGTCACGCAACAACAGATCAAACATGTCACTCACCGTCAGTCGTTTTTCCATTTAATTGGAGAATCAGGTGAAGTCTACCGTTTGGTTCAAGATTAACCTAAACATACTGCTGTGCACATGA